TACTCCTACTACTACTACTACTACTACTACTACTACTACTACGACTAGTACTACCACTACTACTACTTCTTCTACTACCACTACTACCACTACCACCACTAGTACTACTACGACTTCTTCTACGACTATAACTACTACGATTACAACTACTACGATTACTACGGCTATTACTACTACTACGCCTCATCATCATCATCATCATCATCATCATTATACTCTTTCCTTCTTCTTCTATTACTCTCCTCCTCCTCCTCCTCCTCCTCCTCCTCCTCCTCCTCCTCCTCCTCCTCTCCCTCCTCCTCCTCTCCCTCCTCCTCTCCCTCTTCCTCATCCTGCGCGTCCGCCCAGATTCACCTGACGGCCACGTCACAGTCCCATGTTTAGAGGAGGAACGGGAGGAGCAACAGCAGCGGCAGAAGCAGCAAAAGAACGGGGGGGAGCAGGGGAGACAGGGTGTGCACGGGAAGGATGTGTCCTTGCCCCCTGGTCACAAGAGGAAATCAGGGCGGCCCAGATAGAGTGGGGCCCCGACCCCTTTCCTCTCAAAACCTCATGATCATCGCGATGAAACAGGCAAAACAATCGGGCACCTCAAGGGGGAGCCACCAGGGAACCCCGAGTCGAAACAGGCTAAGACAATTTAACTCAACACTCACAGCAGGACGTGCAAAGACATGAGATGCACACATCGGATCTCCGCATCGACTAATTTCTCAGCTACTGCACCCAGAAGACGATGACGCCAGAGCTCAAACACTGAAAAGCAGCTGCCCGGAACCGGAAACGCGCCCAACCCAGCTGCAACAACTGCCCACAGCAACGGGCCCCTACGAATCATGGCATCCCACAGAGCGCAATGCGTTGTGAAAGCGACATCGGGGAGCCTACGCGTTGCATGGCGTGACTCCTCCTCCTCCTCCTCCTCCTCCTCCTCCTCCTCCTCCTCCTCCTCCTCCTCCTCCTCCTCCTCCCCCTCCTCTCCTCCTCCTCCTCCTCCTCCTCCTCCTCCTCCTCCTCCTCCTCCCCCTCCTCCTCCTCCTCCTCCTCCTCCTCCTCCTCCTCCTCCTCCTCCTTCTACATGGCGGCAGAAGGGCGGGAGGAGGGAGGAGGGAGGGGCAGCCGCGGGAGACCGCACGGGCCCGCCGCGGGAGAGCCGACGGGCGGGCCGCACGGCAGAGCACGCGGGCGCACCCCGCGGGGAGGAGCACCCGCGGGAGCCCGCACGGGGAGACCGTGCGGGAGCCCGCACGGATTGGCGGCGTCCTCTGGCGGATCTCTGACGACCACGACGACGACGACGACGACGACGACGGCGGCGACGACGACGACGACGACGACGACGACGACGACAACGACGACGACGACGACGGGAGACCGTGCGAGAGACCACGCGGAAGACGGGAGACCTTTACGCAGGGGAGCAAAAAGCGGCATCAACATGAAAACTCGGAGGTCCGCGCGGAGTGCTCGGAGCGGCGCCGGGGCCCCCCGGCGTCGCCTCCCAGCGCCGCCCCTGGCGCGCTCCGCGCGCCAGGGAGGGGGGGTCCAGCGCCGATCCGAGAAATCTGCGCGGACCTCCGATTTTTTATGCTTACACCCTAGGCGATGCTTAAGAAAACCTAAGTTTTCGTCCAGAGTCTCCATTATTCTTAACTTTTCAATGTGAATCCCAAGATTTTGATAGAAGTTCTGGGTTTTGTTCAATTTCTGAGACTATGAATTTCTTAACCCATGATTTCTTCAAGCTTTGAGAAGTGTATGATTTCTTAACTGATTCTTAACCCATGATTTCTTAACCCATGATTTCTTAACTGATTCTTAACTTTTCAATGTGAATCCCAAGATTTTGATAGAAGTTCTGGGTTTTGTTCAATTTCTTAACCCATGATTTCTTAAGCATTTCGCATGGTGTATGTCACTTTTTGCTCCCCCAATACGGGAGGCCACGCGGGAGCGGAGGCCTCCCAGAGGGGGCCCGACGCCGGAGGACCGCGCCCGCAGCGCCGGCGCACTCGGCGGCGCCGGCGGCGCCTCGGCGGCGAGGGCGCGGAGCAGGTCGGGCTCCGCGTCGAGCCGCATCGCCGAGGCATCGGCGGTGCGGGACGACCCTTTTCAAGGGGGCCCCAGGACACACAAATAATTAGCCTGGCGAAAGACCCAACCATATGCAGTTGTGAATGCCGCAATTGTGCTGGGTGGTGGCGGACGCATGCGGGCGGTGCCACTGGGGCCTTCGGTGGAGCTCCCTATGGGGCCACGAAGGGGCCCCAGGACACACAAGTAAACACACACTGATAAAAAGATGTCCCACATTTTCATACATATCTCTTCTGGGTGTCTGTCTTCCCCCCCCCCACTTCCCATATTTCCCCACCTTTTCTGGGGAGTCGAGGATTAATTGTGTTTTAGGAAGGCACCAACTATACACCAACACCGATCCTGGCCAGGATCACTCTGGGCCCAGGATCCGTGTATACGCCCTCCTGCCTTTGGCAAGAAGGCATATACACCGATCCTGGGCCCAGGGTGATCCTGGGCCAGGATCGGTGTTGGTGTATAGTTGGTGCCCTCCGCTGTTTGTATGTTTTTTCCTCGCCTGAGCGTCGCCGAGGCAGCGGCGGTGGGGGGCGACCCCTCGACCGCAGCTGCTCCGACCCCACCTCGGGGGCCTGGCGAGGGAGACCACCGGCGGCCACGGGCCTCCGATTCTGGAGCGGAGCGGGGGCTTCCTTACGCAGGCATGCCTTGGAGAGATCTCCTCCTCCTCCTCCTCCTCCTCCTCCTCCTCCTCCTCCTCCTCCTCCTCCTCCTCCTCCCCCACCTCCTTCTCCTCCTCCTCCTTCTCCTCCTCCTCCTCCTCATCATCATCATCATCATCATCATCATCATCCTCCTCGTCCGCCACCGTGCCCCCGTGCCACGTCGAGGCGCGGTCGAATGCTGGCGGCCTAGAAATTGGCACCAACACCAACACAGGGGGTTGCCTCCGCAGGGGGAAGAAGATCCTAGATTTCGGTGTTGGTGGTAATAGTCTGGCCACCTCGGAAGCCAGAATAGTACCACCATCACCGAGATCGGGATCGTCTTCACTCGGTGGAGGCACACCGCCGATCTTGGGGTTGGTGTCAACTTCTGGGCCTGCGAGAATGCCAAGTGCTGTCTGTGAGGGCTTCGGCATTCTTCACAAGCGGCCCCCCTCTGCTCGCAGACAGGCGCGTTTGATCGCCCCCTCTCCTGGGGCCGCGATCGCTCGTAGAGAACTGTGGGACCGCGTTCCCGAGGCCACGATCCCTCGAGAAGAGCGGTGGATCCGCGCCCCAGAGCTTCCAAGACGGCCGAGGCAGGGCCAAGATGCTTCCAAGACGGCCCATGATGGCCCCAAGGCGGCCCAATATGGCCTCGCGGCCCAAGAGGCCCCCGCAAAACGAGGGCCTCAAGAGGACACCCGGCAGGGCCCGAAGAGGCCAAAACCATGGAGCGCCCCTTGGCTGTAGAAGATTCGGGCGTCGTAGCCTGTTCGGGCTGCCTGCAGCTCCAGGCGGCCGAGATGACCCCTGGCAGGGCCTCATGAGGAAAATCATCGAGTGTCTTCTGGCCGTGAAAGCTCTGCACAGCTTCGCCTCGTCGAGCGGCCTGCAAGATGACGGCCCCAAGACGGCCCGAGGCAAGCCCCAGGGTGGCCCGACCGCTCCCGAAGTCGGCCTCGAGACAGCAGCAAGCGGGTCCCTAGACGGTCCAGGACGGGCCCGATAGATGAGGAGGAGGAGGAGGAGGAGGAGGAGGAGGAGGAGCAGGAGGAGGAGGAGTGGGAGTGGAAAGAGGAGGAGGAGGAGGAGGAGGAGGAGCCAGAAACTGGCCCGAGAGGGCCTCCAAGAACCGAGACGGCCTCGGAGGGCCCCATCGACGGCCCACGGCGGCCGCACGACGACCCCAGGAGGCCCCCCAGACGGCCACGATGGCCCGAAGACAGCCCAGTTGAGGCCCAAGACGGCCCAAAAAGACCCCAGGACGGCCCAGGAAGGTCTCCGCGAGACTGCCCAGGACAGCCCCAAGGCAGCCCAAAAGGAGCTCCGTAAGAGCTGCTCAAGACCGCGATAAGATACTAAGACGACAAATAGTACATGCGACGGCCGTCGCTGCTCGTACCGTTGCCGCACGACGGGATGATTGGCACGGTGGAGAGACTTGGCGTAGTCACCTGGATACTATGACCCTTACAGACAAGCTGTTTAGCAAAAAACGGGAACTCAACGCATGAGTTTGGGGAATAACAGCAGAGCTAAAGCAGTATACGTCAAGGTTGGGCTATACAAGCACGCCTCCTCCAAACAAGTCGTTCGAACATGGTGTCCCGCATGCTCCCTTGTCTTTGTAAGACGCTCCCGTCTCCCACAGATCATCATCGCCATTCGAATCGTATGCCTCATTATCGGTATCATTGTTATCGTACTCCTCATCATCGTCATCGTCAGCAGCAGCAGCGTCATCCGCATCATCATCATCGTCATCAGCATCAGCAGCAGCATCATCACCATCATCCTCATCCTCATCATCATCATCATCATCATCATCATCATCACCATCATCATCAACAGCACCATTATCACCATCCTCAGCCTCATCATCATCAGCAGCAGCATCATCGTCATCGTCATAATCACCGTAATCCGCATCACCATCATCATCATCGTCGTCGTCGTCGTCATCAGCATCGTCAACATCATCACCACCATCGTCAACAGCATCATCATCAGCATTATCGTCATCATCATGACCATCATCATCCTCATCAGCATCACCATCATCAGCAGCATCACCAGCATCAGCAGCATCATCATCCTCATCATCGTTGTCGTCGTCGTCATCACCCCAGCCCACCCCCCCACCCCCACTCTACCCCCAATCCATGCTTGCACTCTCTACACGGGAACACCCCCAGGCATCAGCAGACAGCGCCACGGGTAGCGGCACTCAAGGCAGCGGTTTGTGGCCAAGGGCGCCTTGTCATAGCAGACATGTTCACCAAGCCGCGGGGCTCCTCCACTCTGTCTGCTGGGGGGTACCAATCGAATGAGACCGACCAATCATGGCCACGGCAATAAGAACCGTGAGTGAGGACGCGGAACAAAAGAACGAGTGGGAGCAAGCCCGGAAGAAGTAATGAAGGCAGGAATGCGAGTAGACATTCGACATTCGACTGAGTCACAAGCTAGCAACTACGCACTCGTGAGGGCAAGATGTACGCATACCCACATACTAGAACAGAGCTATGCGTCCTGACGACTGCAAGGCAAGCATGAGTGTGGATCAAGGCTCCGTCAAGCGCTGAGCGAGATCGCGGACAAGAGCCACCCAAAGCACCAAGTCTTCCCTTATTATGCGCAAAGCCTGATTCGCTTCTGTGACTGCGGTTTGTTTGTGATAGTAAACTGTGTACGGCCAGAGCCGCTTCGTCTTGAGTCCTCCTTTGTTACTGCCTGGCAAATCTACTGCATGCATGCCGACACGCACGCGCACGCCAAATCGAAAGAACCTGCACGGGAGCGACGAATACCCAGGAGCGCGAGCAAAAACATGCGAGACTGCTCGTGCCCTACTTCCCCGCAGATCTGCACACGCCGCCTCCTGTGTATTCTGCTGCCCCTGCTTGCACGGCCTATTTTCCACCACCACCACCACCACAAGTTGGAGGGGGGAGGGGGCCCTCCTCCTCCTCATCATCATCTTACTCCTCCTCCTCCTCCTCCTCCTCCTCCTCCTCCTCCTCCTCCTCCTCCTCCTCCTCCTCCGCCTCCGCCCCCCCTCCAACCCATGGCGGTGGTGGTGAAAAGCAGGCCCACCCCTGCTGCCTGTCCTCCTCCGCCTCCCCCTCCTCCCCGCCCCGCCTCCTCCTCCCCGCCCCGCCTCCTTCCCGGGGGGCGCGCCGCGCCTCGCCCTGGCGGCCTGCCCTGCATCGCCCCGCCTTGACGCAGAGCGCGCGCCGCTTCCTGCTGCCTGTGGGCTGCCGCCGCACCAGACCCTGGCCGTAAAAACCAGAGGGGGGCATCCAAGAGAGGGGGGCGCAAATCTGAAGGGGCCCTGGGACACACAAACAAATGCACACGACTAGGATTCCCCCTATTTTTCCACATTTCCTGGCTTCTTGCCTCCCCCCCCACTTCCCATATTTTCCCATACTTTCTGGGGAGTCGACGATTAATTGCGTCTGTGTGTGTTTTTCCCCTCCTGAACATCATGGCCGGCGGCATGTGCGCGGCCCAAGGGGGGGGGTCAGGGACGTAATGAAGTAGAAGTCGCGCCATGAAATCTGGGGGAAACCCTCCTGCCCCTCTTCTTCTTCCTCCTCCTCCTCCTCCTCCTCGTTCCCCACCTCCTTCCCCCCTCCAACTGATGGTGGCGGTGGTCGAAAACAGGCCCCTCAGCCCTTGCCGTCAAAACCGGCGAGGAGCACGAGGCCGTCGAGCAAGCACGGCGCGGGAGAAGGGAGGCGGACAACGAAGAGCAGAAGACGGGCGACCACGAGGGGCAAGGGGGACACGACGACGGGAGAGGGGTGAACGCGTGCCTCGGTCCACCCAGGCAGCCCACGCAGCACGCGTGCACGACACCCGACACCCAGGCGCGGGAGAGGCGCGCCGGGCACTGCGCGCGCAGAGCGCGCCAGGTCCGCGCCAGGTGTGGCAGATGTACCCCAGGCTTAGCTCGAGCGTGTCCCCCTACAGAGGATTTTGGGCATTTTGGGCAGTTGAATATATATATATATATATATATATATATATAATGCTCACAAATACTCGGAAAAACGTCCCCATACTATGTTTTCCCCTCTGTAGCGGGACAGGCCGGACTCAACCCCAGCCGTGCCCAGTGCGCCGAGTGCGGCCATGCACGCCAGGTCCGCCAAATCCGCGCCAAGTGCGCCAGCAGTGCCACGTGCGCCACGTCCGCCGGGTGCACCAGGTATGCAGCGTGCGCCACGTTCGTCAGGTCGGCCAGCGCAACATCAACCCCCACCAGACCACTCCAAGACCAGAAACCGATGCGCAATGACGGCAGGTTGGCTTGCATAGCTTCCAAGTCGTTCACGCGCGTTCAGTGTGTTTCCGTATTGTGTGCGTGTCTAGGACGGTGGGCTGGCAGACACCCGACAGTTCGCTGACTCCAGACAGCGTCTGTCAAAAAAAACACTCAAAGTGACGACTGGGTGGCCGCAGGGCACCCGATGTGCTTTAAGAGGACGGCGGAGCGTTCGCCAGCGAAGAGCAAGAGAGGACGTGGAAGCGAAGCGCTTGACCTCGCAGCTAAACAATCGGGGCGTCTGAACCCCCGAGAGGCGCAAGGAACAAAAGCACACGCCCAAACCACGGAGAAGGAGGAGGAAGAAGGAGGAGACGGAGAAGGAGGAAGAGAAGGAGGAGGAGGAGGAGAAGCCAAGGGGGCACTTGGCCTTTGCCAGGACGGGGCGCCCCCTCGTGCGCAGGCTCGTCGTGCAACTCGGCCTCGGCAAGCCCCACCGCGGTCTAGTCGCGTAGGGAGGCGGGTGCCGCAGCAACCTCCGTGGCCACGCGTGCGGCTGCCACCTGTACCGCCGTGACGGGCACGCCGCCGCCCGCGACCAGCAGTTCCCTCCAACCTGCCTACCTCTTCACTTTCCCCGTTCCCTCCATATCCACCTCCTCCCTCCTCCTTTTCCTTCTTCTCCTCCTCCTCCTCCTCCGCCTCCTCCTCCTCCTTCTCTACCTCCTCCTCATATTCCTCCTTGTCCTCCTCCTCCTCCTCCTCCTCGTCCTTCTCCTTGTCCTCCTCCTCCTCCTCCTTTTCCTCCTCCTCCTTCTCTGTCTCCTGTCTCCTGTCTCCTCATCCTCCTCCTCCTTCTTTTACTCCTCCTCTTCTTCTTAGTATGCCTATTATTATTGTTATTAATAATACTAATATTATTCTTATTTAAAATATTAATATTATGATGTTCAGTATTATTATTCCAGTATTATTATGATTAGTATTAATATTATCGGTATTATTATTAGTATTATTATTAGTAGTATTATAATTCATGTTATTATTAGTATTAGTATTATTATTAGTATTATCATTATTATTATTAATACTAATTTTAGTATTACGAGTATGAGTACCACTACTGGTATTAGTAGTAGTAGTAGTAGTAATAGTATGATTGAGATTGGTCTTGGTGATGTTACTATTATTATTAGTATTGTGGTTATGAGTATGATTAGTACTAGTACTATTATTATTATTAGTAGTAGTATTAGTAGTAGTAGTAGTATTAATGATAATAATAATGTTATCATTAGTAATAGTAGTAGTAGTATTAGTAGTATTATTACTAGAATTAGTAGTATTAGTACGATTGTTATTAGTATTAGGATTATCATGTTCGTGTTAGTAGTATTATTCTTTTAAATCATAGTATTATTAATAGTAGTATTAGTATGAGTAGTATTATCATTATTATTAATAATGGTATAATTAGTTTTAGCAGTATAAGTATCAGAATTATTATTATGTGTTGTCGTCCTTTTCTTACTAGTATTCCTGTTAGTATTAATACGATTAGTCTTAATAGTAGTAGTATGAATATTGATAGTATCCTTATTATTAGTATTCGTATCCATATCATTAGTATTATGCGTATTAGTCTTAGTATTCCTGATAGTATGATCACTCTGATGTTTCTTTGTCTTCGTATTATGAGTAAGATTCGTCTTCTGCTCATGATTATGTTTATTAGTACTATTCGTCTTATGGTTAAGTTTGTGCTTATGGCTATGCTTCTGAGTATGCGTGTGAGTATTCTTATTCTTATTAGTAATATTATTCTTCTTCGTCATGTATGTATTATGTTTATTGTTAGTATTAGGATTCGTCTTCCTTTTCCTTTTCCTCCTTCTCCGTCTCCTCCTTCTCCTCCTCCTCCTCCTTCTCCTCCTTATCCCTCCTCCCTCCTCCCTCCTCTCCTCCTCCCTCCTCCCTCCTCCCTCCTCCCTCCTCCCCCCTCCCTCCTCCCTCTCCCTCCTCCCTCCTCCTCCCTCCCTCCTCCCTCCTCCCTCCTCCCTCCTCCCTCCTCCCGCCTCCCTCCTCTCTCCTCCCTCCTCCCTCCTCCCTCCTTTTCCTCTTTTTCCTCCTTCTCCTCTTTTTTCTCCTTCTCCTCCTCCTCCTCCTCCGCCTCCTCTTCCCGCCTCCACCTCCTCCTCCTCCTCATCCTTCTCCTCCTCCTCCTCCTTCTCCTCCTCCTTCTCCTCCTCCTCCTCTCCTCCTCCTTTTTCTTGTCTTCCTTTTCTCCTCCTTCTCCTCCTCCTTCTCCTCCTTCTCCTCCTCCTCCTCTTCCTCCTCCTCGCTCCTCGCTCCTCCCTCCTCCCTCCTCCCTCCTCCCTCCTCCCTCCTCCCTCCTCCATCCTCCCTCCTTCTCCTCCTCTTTCTCCTCCTTTTCCTCCTTCTCCTCCTCCTCCTCCGCCTCCTCCCGCCTCCACCTCCGCCTTCTCCTCCCGCCTCCACCTCCTCCTCCTCCTCCTCCTCCTCCTCCTCCTGTGGAGGAGCGCGTCTTCGGGCTCCGGCTCCATCTTGCCGAGGCCGGATAGTGCCGATCACTGGGTGCATTTGCGGCAGGCGCTGCCGCAGCCCGCTGCCACGGCGCCCCCATCTGCGGCCAGGGGGGGCGCGCGAGCGCCTCCAGCTGGGCGTCTGCGTGAGCGAGCCGGTCGGCGCTGCGCACGGCTGTGCGGTGGGCCCGGCACGACGCGAAGCAGGCATGAGCATGAAAACTCGGAGGTCCGCGCGGAGTTCTCGGATCCGAGCGGACCTCCGAGTTGTCATGTGCATGCCCTTCTTCGCTCCCCTAAAATAGGCGGAGAGGTCGAGGCGCAGTGGGTTCGCGGCAGGCACGCTGGCCTTCCGCGCCGAGGTGAATACACACCGTCTCGATACGAGTTCAGAGGCATTAGACACCGCGAAGAACGCGCGAGAAAGGAGGAAGTGGGCGGAGTCAGCTCACGCGCCATCGGTGGAGGCACACAGCCAGCACTGCTGACCTTCACCCCCCCCAGCAACCATGCCCTGCACGGGGATTGTCTGCCGGCTCGGCCTGCTCAGGGAACAGAGGTCCTCGGCGAAGAGGCTGTAGCGACGGGTGCACGGCAGTGGCTGCTGCCATTGCCCTTCGGGAATGCCCAGAACGCACGACGCCCACCCAGCCACGAGCGGCGCGCTCGGACGACGGCTTCAATGCACCGACATCGCGGGGGAGATCGACAAAGATGCCACGCGGAAACGCCGCCTCTGAGCGCGGCCCCCGCTGTGCTGGTTGGTCAGGTCCGTGAGACACTGCCAGCGTTTGTAAATCCTCCGCCGCCGCGCCGCACTGGCAAGACGCTGCTAGAGACAGGTCCTCCTCAGCACGATCCTGCAGGCCCCCCCCCGCCCCTGCTCCACCGCCTACTCATGTGTATTCCTGGCCCCAGTCTTCCCACTTCTTCCACCGTCCTCTCTGACCCTCCTCCACACGTGCAGACCAAGCATCGCCCGCAATCCCTGGAGTTCCTCGGGCCCAGGAGGGCAGTCTTCTCGATCTCGTCTGGCACCGAAGACATCCATCTGCGCGCTGCCGCCTGCGTGCACTAAAAAGGCGCATCAAAGAGGCCCTCCAAGCCGGCGGCGGAGCACGAGGGCAACGAGGTGATAGGGAGGGGAGGAGACATCATAGCATCAAAATCACCTGGAACCTCCACTGCACCTCCTCATGCTCATAGTCGTCATCGTCATCGTCGTCGTCGTCGTCATCATCATCATCATCATCATCATCATCGTCATCATCATCATCATCATCATCATCATCATCATCATCAGCAGCAGCAGCAGCATCATCAGCATCATCATCATGATCATCAGCAGCATCATCATCATCAGCATCATCATTATCAGCAATATCATCATCAGCAGCAGCATCATCATCATCATCATCATCACCGCAACCACCACCCTCGGAATCAGCTTCAGCATCAGCATCAGCATCAGCATCAGCATCAGCATCGGCAACGTCACCATCATCATCATCATCATCATCATCATCATCATCATCATCATCATCATCATCGTCGTCATCTTCTTGATCATTACCGCAACCCCCACCATCAGCATCAGCATGAGCATCAGTATCGGCGTCGTCACTATCATCATCATCATCATCATCAGCATCATCATCAGCATCATCATCGTCCTCGTCGTCATCATCATCATCAATCATCAGCAAGAGCATCATAATAAACATCATCGACAACATCATCCTCATCTTCATCAACATCAGCATCAGCATCATCATCATCATCACCAGCATCATCATCAACATCATAAGCATCATCATCCTCGCCATCGTCGTCGTCGTCGCAAACGCCATCCTCATAGTCCTAATCATCGACAACGTCAGCATCACCACCACCATCATCCGCATCGTCAGCATAATCGCAATACTAATTCTCATACTAATAATGATACTGACACAAGTAATAGTGATAATGATCCAAATAATACTAACAGTAACAATAACCAAAAAAAACATCATCATCATCATCATCATCATCATCATCGGCATCATCATCATCGTCACCATCATCATCAGCGTTATCGACATCAACCTCTTAATCAAAATCAGCATCGTAATTAACAACAACCTCACCTTCAACTTCATCTACATATTCATTCTCATCTTCATCATCATCACCATCATCCGCAGTGTAATCATCACCATATGCATGATTATCATCAGCAGCAGCATCACCATCACCGTCACCGTCCCCACCCTCATCATCATTGTCATCGGCATCATCATAATCATCAGCAGCAGCACGATGGATGGCTTCGTCGTTCAAACATTCCTTATGCCGCTTGTGCGCGCGTTGTCTCTCCGTTCCAATTCCAAGCGTCACTTCCCGAACAACGACGTTCACTCTTGACAACACCGGCCAACATGTTTACGCGAGGGCATCAAATTTGGGACCCTACATGCCTGCCGGAAAAATGTACGTCACTACTAATCGGAGACTGGAAGAAATGTGAGGGCGAATCGAAAAGGTGAACATCGCGCGACATAAGCTAATGGGACTTGACATAATCGCAAAGGCTCTGTGCAGACCTGTGTCCTTGCTGTGAGCGGCCACCCCGCGAAAGCGGCGAACATGACCGTTTGCGTGTGCCCATCCGCCACACACGATCTCCTCCTCCTCCTCCTCCTCCTCCTCTTCCTCCTCCTCCTCATGATCATCATCATCATCATCATCATCATCATCATCATCATCATCATCTTGACAGCAAGATCAATAAGACAGAATAATACGAGTAAAAACTGCAATAACGATAACACCAGAAATTATAAAAAATGATGATCAGCATCATAATCATCATGATCATCATCCTCATCATTTCCCTCATCATCACCACAACTAATAATGACCACAAACGTAACAGTAATAGCAACAATATACATACGGCTAGAAATAGTAACCGTATGCATAATAGTAGTATTAAGAATACTGATAGTAATAGGGCTAGTAATAATAATCGCAATCGTAATAGTAATAGTCATACTATGAAAAGTAATAGTAGAAGTAGTAGTAGTAGTAGTAGTAGTAGTAATAGTCACAATAATGGTGATAATGACAATGATAGTAATAGTAATAGTAATAGCAATAGCAATAGTAATCGCAATAGTGATAGTAATAGTAATCGTAATAGTAAGAATACTAGTGATAGGAATTGTGATAGTAATATTAAAAGACAATACTGTTAGTACTAGCCCTGGTAATGATGAAAGTACGAGTAATAGTAACAAACATTAGAAATCGAAATTGAAATAGCAATAGAAATATAAATAGCAATAATACTAATAGCAGTAGCACCAGGAAGTCATAATAGCAGTTCCGATAATATTACCAGTAATAGCATTAGTAATGGAAACAAATAATGTCCTACTCATAGGCATAGTAACCATAGTAATGGTGATAATAAGAACGACATTAAGAGTAAGAATAGCAATAGAAACGACCATCATATCACCAGCATCATCTTCAGTACCAGCCTCAGCACCAGCATCAACACAAGTATAATCATCATCATCATCGTCCGCATCATCATACCCCGCCTCCTCAAAAGCCACTGCCCCACCAATGAAAATTGACATCCGTCGTGTGTTTCGTCCGCATGCTCAGTATTGATCATATGTATATGCCTTCTCTGCCGTCTTCCTTTTCCTCCTCCTCCTTTCCTCCTCCTCCTCATCGTTCTCCTTATCCTCCTTATCGTCCTCATCCTCTTCCTCCTCCTCCTCATCATCGTCCTCCTCCTGCTCCTCCTCCTCCTCTCCTCCTCCTCCCAATCCTCCTCATCCATCCATATCCTCCTTTTCCTAATCCTCGTCCTCCTTCTCCTCATCATCATCTTCCTTCTCGTCCTCCTATTTTTCCTTTTCTTCCTTCTCCTCCTCCTCCTCTTCCTCATCCTTCTCCGTCCCCTCCTCCTCCTCCTCCTCCTCCTCCTCTTCCTCTTCCTCATCCTCCTTCTCCTCCTCCTCCTCCTCTTTCTCCTCCTCCTCGTCCTCCTCCTGTTCCTCCTCCTCCTCCTCCTGGTCCTCCGCCTCATCCTCCTTCTCCTCCTCTTCCTCTGCCTCCTCCCTCCCTGCTATTCCACTCCCTCCTCCTTCTCCTTCTCCTCCTTATGTGCCTCCTTCCTGTCATCATCATCATCAGCATCATCATCACCGTCACCGTCATCATCATCATCATACAGTTCCACGGTGGTTTACTATGTTTGTTCGTGCGTTTGGTGTTCAAAGACTTAGTATAACAAATGAGCTTTGTAGTGACATTGATAGTAGTGTTTCCTAGCATTGGTAACTATCATGTTCATTATTACGGAGAGTAGTAGTTGCAGTAACATTATCATTAGAATCGCCCATAGCATCATTATTGGGGTGCGTATTACTCGTACTATTACGAGTCGTCTTCTACTTGGGTTTACTATTCGTAGTATTGTTAGTGTGCGTATTAGCATTAGTAATATGATTACGCGTCGCATTACTATTACTCGAAGTCGTTTTTGGGGGGTCCTGATAGTGTTACTCGTCTCCCTTGTTGTATGATTAATAATACCTGTCTTAGTCTTAACAGTATGGTTATTATTCGCCGTGTTGTTTGTTATGTGTACTATAAGTCGTACTCGCCCAAGTACTCTCAATAGCCGTCGTCTCATTATTCATCGAATTAACCGTTCCATTGTTCCTCTGACTATTATTCCAGGTTCTTGATGTTACTAGTATTTCCAAAAAAAAGAGTACTAGCATTATTCGTTGTCGTAGCACTCTCATTATGAACGGTAGTGTTCGCAGTGGTGTTATGCGTATCGATACCACGATAAACTACCAATACGAGTACTAGTAGTATTATCATTCATGTCGATGGTGTTGGTATTGTACGTAGCAGAGGTATTATCATCACCCTTCCGTTTAGTTGTCTGAATACTGTTAGTTATCAATACGCGTATGATTATTGCTACTATTTTGAATCAACATCATCATCCTCATCAGAACCAGCATCATCATCACCACCACGACCACAACCTTCATCATCAACAGATCATCATCGCCATCCGCATCAACGAGTCCATCGTCTTCATCACCAGCATCATCATTATTATCCCTCTCCTTCCCACCCTCTTGTTGCTCTTATCCCTCCCCCTCCTCCACCACCATCACCTCCTCATCCTGTTCCTCCAATTCGTCCTCCCCCTTCTCCTCCTCCTCCTCCTCCTCCTCCTCCTTCTCCTCCTCCTCCTACTCATAATCCTCCCGTTCCACCACCCATGCCTCTTTCTCCTTCTCCTCCTCCTCCTCCTCCTCCTCATCATCCTCTTCCTGCCCCTTCTCCTCCTCCTCCTCTTCCTCCTTCTCCTCCTTCTCCTCCTGCTTCTCCTTCTCCTCCTCCCCCTCCTCCTTCCCCTTTTCCTCCTCCTCTTCCCCCCTCCTCCCCCAACAAGAGCGAGCGCAGTCTGCGCCGCGCACGCGCCCCCACAGTCTCCGAACGAGACCTGGACGAGTAAGTAGCTCACCGCGACGACGCACCCCGGCAGCGCCGGCGCGCCGGCCACCCAGCCAGCAAAGCAAATCGCCCCAGCGGCTGCTTAGCAGGCCGCCTCCGCGCGCAGCGCCGCTGCCCGGGCAGCGCGGCCCCCGCCCAAGGCGGCCCACAGCTGCCGCGCCTTGGCGCGGTGCAAGGCGACGCCCAGCTCAGCGCCCCAGCGCTGCGCCAGGGCGCTGGCCACCGCTGCGGCGCGCTTTTCGCCCACCAGCTCCGCTCGTCCCCGCGCGAGCTGGCGGAGGTGGCACAGCGCCGCCTTGCCGCGCCAGCCCCCGGTCTCAAGGGCGAGCGGCAGCAGCGGCCAGGGGCAGCGGCCCTCGGGATACCGCCGCCGCTTGTCGGCCTCGGCCGCTGCGTTGACCGCGCCCTCGCGCTGGGCCGCGGCGGCCCGCCCGTCGGCGCCCCCGGGCATAGCGCACAGGACTGTCACGTCGATGAACACGCGCGGACAACGGGCGCGCTGCACCTCGAGGTCGAGGATAGCCTCCGCGCGCCGGGCCTCCAGCGGCTGGCCGCAGGC